TTTTCCGTGCCGGCCCCCGTGCCGGGGGGGAGGGCACGCCGCAGTGATGGCTCCTTACGCGGGATGACCTGGCCACCGAGCGGGGTGGCTGCTGGGCGGGGCGCGGGGGTCGAATCTTTGAAAGCACTCACGCTGTCCAGGAAACGGCTAGCAGACAAATGTCAGACTAGCCAACGACCCCCCAAAAGGTGGTGGGGAAATATTAGTGATCCATACATAGCAGGTGAAAACAGTATTTTTAGCCGAAAGCATGCATCTGTCGATATCTTCCCCCATCTCGGGGGAAAATATTTACATATTACATACAGGGGGAAAGGTTACATACATACATACACGTGTATGGGTGAATTAAGATATAACTATGGAAACAAAATTATGACGCAGTTATGTACATGAAATTTAGGAAACTAAAACAAATTTTATTAATAATACGCTTAATATATTCTGTCTCCGCGTAGCTAACGATTTTGCTTCCTTTGGTAATGGCTGTTTCAAGTTAAACTATTCGTTTTATGCCTGCCAATTCCACAAACCACTCCATCTCATTAAATGTACTTTAAATTATTTTAAGTTTCTTTATAAAATAGAACAAGAGCAAATACTTGTTTTGCTTTATTCTTTGCATGAAAAAAATATTACTACTTGTAAAAAACATTCGTTTTCAAAATACTGGGGTTTTCTGAGTCAACTAAAAACCAGAATCAATATCTTGGCTTAATACTGAAAAGTTTGGTCTATGGAGAACTTATAGATTTAATACTGAAAGATGCTTATTAAAAACATTGTCATCTTACCCTTAAAATTAAAACGTCTAAAAGGCCAAAATACAGTCATGTAGTGCTTAACGACAGGGAAATGCATCACAGGCCATTGGATCAGTGTGGGAACATCCCAGAGTGTACCTACACAAATCTGGATATTGTCGCCTACCACATACAGCCTACTGCGGCACAGGCTACATACCTGTGTAGCATATTACTGTACTGAACACTGTAGGCAACTGTGACACAATGATAAGCATTTGTGTATCTGTGTATCTATGTAAGCATAGAAAAACTACAGCCCAAATACAGTATAAAAGATAAAAAGCAGTACACCTGTTTCAGGCAGTTCCAGTGTAATCTTAGGGGGCCTATGTCATATACGCGGTCCATCACTGATGAAAGGGCATTAAGCAACACATAACTGTACATTGTTTAACTGAACTGAATTATAATGTAAAAGAAGTTTAGCTAAGGGTAGACACCTACCTTTTTAATTGTTTTTGTCTGTACCAAAGCAAGTTCTCGATTCTCATCCGCTACGTACAATGATAGTTTCACATAGGGATCGCTGTAAGAAAATATTTCAGATTTAGTAGGATTGTACTTTTCATTTAAAAAAGAAAGTAAAATAAAAATGCAAATGTCAGTTAAAGTCTCAGCTCACATTATTTCCACAAACTTGGCAACATTTTTAATGTATCTATTAAGTCAATATAGTCTCAGAAAAGGTTTCTATCAACCAGAGCCAGTCATGCTTATTTAAAGGCAAATGAATAATAATAATAACGACAACTAATGATAAAAGGAATAAGCCCCTACATTCTAACTAAAGATAATATAATATTTTACAGGTCATTCAAAAAAATTTTAAATACAGATTCTGAAAAGATTAAAAGAATATTAAAAGGCGTACAGAATTTGTTCAGATTAGCAAAATCTAGCTAGAAAAGTTAGTTTACGTCTTATTCAAATTCTTATTTTCAGTATGGAAGTAAGAGGTCATAAAAGTTTTACTGGAAGCAAAACAGCTACTGTTCACCCAAGCCAAAATCTACCATCTCACAGAATTAAAAACAATAACAACAACAAAAAAAGCCACAACACAATCCCCAAAATTAAAGCCTAGAAAGTTAAAGAGAGACTTGCCTAAAGTTATACATTTGAGTAAAACCTAAATTAAATTTCAAGTTTCCTGACTACAAGTCCCAGAATTCCTTGCACACATCACACTATCTTTTACAAGTATTTCCTTGGGATTACTTAATGTGGATTGGCTTCTAAGAGTAGTATTGCTAACCTGGAGAAGCTCAGATCTAGTCAAACTATCACTTTGTAAGAATTCAGGGATTGGGAAGATTTCCTTCATACTTGAGATGCTGAAAATCATAAAAGGGGTCTCGTGTATTCAATCCCCAGATTTCCAGTCATCTTCCGTTCATCACGTTAACTTTATGCAAATTGAGAACTTTAGTGGCTAAACCACAACTCTTCATCCCTATTTTGTAATGGCCAAGATATTTCCAAAGAGTACATCAAACACCTTGAAATGAGGAGGCCATATTGATTTCCATTTGACACCTCAGATAAAAAAAAAAATGCCATGAAATCCTTTAAGAAAAGAGAAAGGTATGACAAAATTAAGTTTGGCAGTTACAAGACTACAGTCAACATCTAAAAAATAGAAATCAGACAGTGAAAAAAGTTTGCCATAAATATGGTATTTATTACTCCTAAAATGTATCTTAATGGAGGCTACAAAACATATTCTTAAAAACATAGCAACAGAATATGTTCAGCTATGCTCCATTACAGGTGAATATTTTCATTTTTAACATTCTGGTTTAGATGAAATTATTAGTCAGTCTTTCCTCTTATCCATAAACTGTAAACCTTCATTTGGTTAAGGAACATCTAACCAGATGCACCTATTTCTCCTCATATGGTCACCTTCAGCCTCAGGAAAGGGTGGATCAAGAACCAGCACTGGTGGGCACAGGTAGCTAATGCCTATCATCCCAGAACTTTGGGAGACTGAGGCGGGAGGATGGCTTGAGCCCAGGAGTTCAAGACCAGCCTAGGCAACATAGTGAGACTTCGTCTCTACAAAAACAATAGAAAAATGAGCCAGGTGTAACGCCATGCACCTATAGTACCAGCTACTTGGGAGACGGAGACAGGAGTATCGCCTGAGCCTAGAGTCGCCTGAGCCTAGAGGTCGAGGCTGCGGTGAGCTGTGTTTTATTTTTCTGTGCTCCATTCAAATGGACAGGGACGCAGATTTTTTAATTTCTGGAGCTTGTCTCCTTGCCTGGCATATAGCAGACATTCAGGAAATAGGAGGCTGTCTGAATCCAGGTACCAGTTTGTTGTCTCCTTGGAAAGGCTGAAAGGAAGAATGTGAGGTTTAAACAGCCTCCCTTAGCGAAGAAAACAAAGGTCTACAAAATAGAACCCTTCAGTCCTTCAGCCTGGACAACAGAGTGAGACCCCAGTTTAAAAATAACAAAAGCAGCCGGGCTCGGTGGCTCAGCCTGTAATCCCGCGCCTTTGGGAGGCTGAGGTGAGTGAATTGCCTGAGCCCGTGGGTTCGAGACCCGCCTGGGCAGCGAGACCTCATCTCTACAATAAATCAAAAAATCAGCCGGGCGTGGTGGCGCATGCCTGTAATTCCAGCTACTCGGAAGGCTGAGGCGGAAGGATCGCTGGAGCCCGGCAGGTGGAGGCTGTGGTGGCCGGGAGCGGCCACTGCACTCCAGTCTGGGCGACAGAGTGAGACTCCAACTCAAAAAAAAAAAAAAAAAAAAAAAAGCCAGCACCTAGCAAATCTCTCAGGCCCAATGAGCACCTTGCTAATGGGAGCCTGTGGTCTAGGGGATGGATCAGGTGTGATGCTCCAGGAGAGTGACGCTCAGACTTTAGCATCTCAGACTCACCTAGAGGCGAGGGTGGTTAAAACACAGATCGCTGAGCCCCAATCCCAAAGTTGAATTCAGTTTGGGGCGGAACCCTAAAATTTGCATTTTTAACAAGTTCCCAAAGATGCTGAGCTTCCGGATCCAAGTACCCCACTTGGAGAACCTGTTCTAGGTGCCATTTGAAAAGAGTATTGTTTTAGCTACAGGAACTAGTTTTTTAAAATTTCTAACCACCAAACTATTACTGCTAAAAGAAAGCTCAAGCCCTGATGATCATATTACCTCAAGGACAGGCTTTCACTGGGCCATGGAGCCAGATGCCCATGCAGGTTTGTACACACACACCTAACCCCAGGTTATAACAAACACCATCAACTCCGCCACCAGTTTGTTTTCATGTCCCTCAGCACCATGGTGGCTGGCTATTATGTAATGGCAATAAACAGCCAAGCACTCACTTCGATAGAATGTCCACATTCTTCTACTGGCCATTCATTCACCTGTCTGTATCCCTCGAATAGCTCACAATAAATGGACATGCAGTTGGGGGCTGTGGGTGGGGTCTCTGAGGGACATCGTATCTTCCAGCCATAATGAGGAAGTCATGTCTGAACACATGATCTCGAGTGCTCATCCAGGTAGGTACTAAAGTATGATCAACTCTATGAGAGAGCTGCCAAGAAACTTCCTGGAAGAGAGATCAGCCTGGAGAGAGAACTGAGGCCAAGGTCCTGGAGCTGGCTAAAGGACAGTAGGGTGTAAAGTCAAGGGGAAGGAAAAACAGGTACACTCACATTGCTCCCAGAAGCCTCCTCCCTTTCTGCTGATAGGTAACAACTCTTACCTTTAGCCTGATCACGAATAAAACGTGAATGACAAATCCTAACTCAGAGGGACTGTATTCATGCTAGTACCCAGCTCTGTGCCAAACACACGGTACAAATACCCCATAAACGACAGTTAAGGTCACTGTTACTCTCTTTCTCTTTCTCTTAGGAAACGTTCGAGGTTCTCTGTTGCTCCTTTGGACTCTGCTTCTGCTGTGATTCCTGGGTGCTGGCCAGCCACAGCATGCTTTCTCATTATTCACACTGTGTGGTGGCCCGACAGGGATGTGGGTAGGGATGATCAAACTAGGAATCTTACTCACAGCAAATCTCACCAGAATTCAGTCTTGGCATCAAGTCACCGTCCTAGTGGCTGGGATTCAGCAGGACTCAGGACTAGCATTAGTGTGACTCGGAGAAACGCAATGCTTTATAGAACATGTGGGTTAGAAGAGAAATTCTACTTTGTAAACCTTTTGTTTTTTTCACTTAGTGGAGTTGTTTAAGCATCACGTTCTTCCTTTCAGCCTTTCCAAGGAGACAACAAACTGGTACCTTGATTCAGACAGCCTCCTATTTCCTGGATGTCTGCTATATACCAGGAAAGGAGACAAGCTGCAGAAAGAGAAAACACTGTCCCTGTCCATTTGAGTGGAGCACAGAGAAATAAAACAATGACTGGTGACAGTGTGTGCCAAGGACCTGGAATGGAACAGCAGTCGCGGACCTCCAGGAAGCTAGAGTCACCTGGAATCCAGGTGCCTGCCCCAATACCAGACCTGCTAGATCAGAATCTCCAAGGTTAGGGCCCAGGAATCTGCATTTATTGAGTGTTCCAGGTGATGTCTATGCACGGGTCCATCTAGTTGCTACTGCCATTGGAGTCTGAAGGCACACATGGGGCTGGGAGGAAAGGGCCAAGAACAGGCACAAAGATCACAGGCAAAGGTCTAATGATAAGGTTAAGCTGGGGTTCTGAAGATTAAGAAGTTTGACATGGCTGCAGTCTGGGGGCTCAGGAAGAAAAGGAAGCTGGAGAGGGAGCCCAGGCTCAAACTGGCCATTCCTGCTGGGCTCAAATCCTGGCTCCCCCAGTTTGTAGCTACATGACTTTGGGAAACGTATACAGCCTCTCTGTGCCTCAGTTTTACCCTCTGTAATGGGGATAATAGTCGTATTTCCCTTATAAAGAGGCTATTGGAAAAGATTTAAATTACAATAGTGCTTGACATACAGTAAGCGCTCGATAAATGCTACCTACCACCATTACCACCACCACCATCACCATCATCACCATGGGTTTGTTGAAATGCAGATTCGTGGTCAAAGTACCACAGATCAGCTAGAAGGCTTTAGCACCAAAGAATGAGAAGGGTCTAAACAAGTGGTGAAGATCAAGACGAAAGGATTGGAACTCATCCTGGTGGACTCACAAGGAATGGGTGGTCAACTGAACATAGCAGGGAGGTGGCTGAGGAAAGGGGAGTTCGTGTCAGCCTCCAGTCTCTGGCCTCTTGGCAAGTTATGTCACTACACAAAGGGCCCTTGAATCATTTGCTACAAGCGCAGAATGATGTATCTGCATTAAGTTTACAAGGGCCCATCAAATACTGATGGTCTGAGCTGTCTGTCTTCGGAGAATCCTCATGATTTAATGCTGTTCAGTGCTATTCAGATTCAGCCTGGCCTCCACACACACGTCTAGGTTAGGTAGACTCCAAAATCTACCCTAAAGGAGCTCAGGTTCCTCAGTATTGTTTCACCAAGTAAACAAAACCCAGAAGAAAAACATAACTTGGTTCTAGCTTTTCACTCACAAGCAAAACACCTAATTTGCACACAAAAGATGACATTCAAAGGAAGAAACAGAAGGGTGACATCATCTTATCTCAGAGATAAGAGACACACCATTAACTGCATGATATCACTAGCTGGAGTACAGATCCTCGCAGCTGCAATGACATCACAAGGAGTCTAACAGATACCAAGACACTCAGCAAAAGTTCACAACTACCTGCTCTCTCAGAAGAAGTTACCAAAAAATTCTGTTCAAAAATCTATTCTGGGCTGGGCACGGTGGCTCATGCCTGTAATCCCAATACTCTGGGAGGATAAGATGGGAGGATCATTTGAGCCCAGGCGTTGGAGACCAGCCTGGGCAACATAGCGAGACCTCATCTCTACAATAAATAAATAAATAAATAAAAATTAGCTGGGCATGGTGGACTGCACCTGTGGTCCCAGCTACTCAGTAGGCTGAAGAGGAAGGATTGCCTGAGCCCGGGAGGCCGAGGCTGTGGTGAGCCATGATTGTGCTACTGCACTCCAGCCTGGGCAACAGAGTGAGACCCCAACTCAGAAGAGAAGGAAAACAAAACCCATTCTGATTTTGCAAAACTTCCAAGAGAAAAGTGTTTAATTGTCTCTCATTCTCAACCTGGGGCCCAGTGTTGAAAATTCTGCTTGCTCTCTTGGGGCCTCTGCTTTAGTTATCTCTTTAGAGAGCCTGCAGCCTTCACGGACCTCAAGTGGGTTTAAAGAACTCAGAGGTAGCCATCTTATTCAGGGGTCTCATTCTACCTTCATCGCCGTGAAGCAAAAGACAGTACACAGGAGGCCACCTGTCAGGGAGAGTTGAAAATGAGACTTTCTGGGTATGTGGCATTGCTCAACCTTCCAGAACACACGGCACAAGGACCGTCAGTCCTTGACACGCCATTAATGGGGTGATACCTAACCGTCGCCACTAGACTCACCGAAGTGGTCTATGTTCTTTTGCACCTATTATTTACTCTCTTTTATCAGAATAAAGAGTCTTTGCTGAGATCCACATATTTTAAAGGAGGCAGGGCAGTAAGGGTTAAGGCAGGGCAGGCATTGACTCCAATGGACAGTGTCAGGTGGATGACATTCAAACTGCAGCCCGGTCTAGCTACTATAAAGGCGTCCTTTCAAGATACTTGGATGCAAGAATAATGAGAAAGAGAGCAACCCGACCCTAACCTGAAGGAAGTCATCCTTATTCCCTGTGAGAGGAAAGTGCTCAATATGGTTCTAGGGTCACCTGTAAAAGGACTGTGTGTTTGCTGCCTATGAGCAAAGAGCACACAACTCAGGGACACAGCACATTCCACAGCACCGGAGAGCACATTCATCCTGATGATGACACACTGAAGACTTAGCTAAACCAGAAAGTCTCGGGGCAAAACCTATTTTGTTAAATGAAAACATGTTTCGTTGAAGCTTCCCTCTTTTTTTGGGGAGTCAGACTCTCACTCTGTTTCCCAGGCTGGAGTGCAGTGGCATGCTTACAGTCACCGCAGCCTCAACCTGCTGGGCTCCGGCAATCCTTTCGCCTCAGCCTTCTAAGTAGCTGGAATACAGGTGTGCACTACCATGCCCAGCTAATTTTTTGATTTACTGTAGAGACGAGGTCTTGCCAAGTTGCCCAGGGTGGTCTCGAACCCCTGGGCTCAGGCAGTTCTCTCGCCTCGGTCTCCCAAAATGCTGAGATGATAGTTTTTGCTCATTCTTTTCTGCTTTCATGATTATTGTCAGTATTACATACATCACATATAGCCTCAATAAAGAAATAACACTTAAAACACACAAGCGGCTATCGCTTCCTGCTCCTCGCCTCTACTGTGGGCGCTCTGGAATCCTTGCGGGCTAAGATGTCTAAGGCTGAGTTTGGGAAGGCTGCAGAGGAAGTTAAGAACCTCCAGACCAAGTCAGCAGACGACGAGATGCTATTTATTTACGGGCACTGCAAACAAGCAACTGTGGGCGATATGGATACAGATTGGCCCAGGATGATGGACCCCATGGGCAAGGTCAAGTGGGATGCCTGGAATGAGTTGAAAGTCGGGACTATCAAGGAAGATGCCATGAAAGCTTATGTCTGCAAAGTAGAAGAGCTAAAGAAAAGTATGGACTATAAGAGACTGGATGTTGTTGCCAGCTATGCTTTTAACCTCACTGATACAACGCCTTGTTTTTTCTAATACTATAGATGATATGAAATAGTGAAAATAACCAGTTAACCCAGTTCCTCAAGGCTATTTAGGATACGGCACCAACAGATTATGGGCTAAAATAATGACTGACGACCCTAAGTAGTTTAGTTTTTGTCTGAGATCAGTTAAAAATGTACTCTAAGTCTTTAGTTAAAAAAAAAACAAAAAAACCACACACACATACAAGCAATAAGGAAAAATATTAAGAAAGTGTAAGAATTAAGATACAGAAGTAGATGCAATAATCTTGAAACTGGAGTTTTCATCTAACAAATTGTCAAAGAGTGAAAAAAGTTAACATGTTCTAAAGGGAAGGAGACATTTTATTACTCTACTACTTGAAAGATTATTACAAGTTTTCTGGGAAGCAATACAGCAGAAGTAGCAAAAGCATTTGACTCATCAAATTTATGTCTAAGGTTTATTTCCCCAAGAAGTAATCAGAGATGCAAGTAAATATTTATTTGCAAAAGATACTCATTACAGCATCATATAAAATAAGGAAAAATTAGAAGTAGCCTTCCAGCTGAATAAGGAAGTGATTAAATAAATTATGGTGCACCCATGTGCTAGAAATTATAGGTCACTAAAATCATGTTTTCAAAAAGTATTGTGAAAGGAGAGAAAAAGATCATGATACATTATTAAGGAAAGCAGGGTCTAAAAATGTGACTAATTCAAACAATATATATGAAAATAATTGAGGAAAACTTAGCTAAAATGTTATAGTCATTCTCTTGATGATAAACTTATGAATTATGCTTTTCTCACTTATGGTTTTTATTATTTCTAAATTTTTTAACTGCCAGCAAATGTACTTTATGAGTATATAAAAATTATGAGAATACCATTAATAATTACCCATATGTTTCCACTACAATTGACTCTTCAATGAAAAAATGAACCCTGTAATTTCATGGCCAGTCTATACCTCAATAACAAACCCCAGGGCTTCAGATACTTTTTCTACCTAGAATTTCTATTATATATTTCCCCCAGCTACCAGTAGTTAAGAAAACAGCTCTTTCTTGTCCGCTAGTAATACTTCAATACAGCCAAGAGAGACAGCAACTCACAAGGACCAAAGGAAAGGGGAAAACAAAAGCTGTTCCCTTTGTGGAAACATTCACGATCGATTTAATTGCTCAGACAGTCAAGAGGTGCCCACCATGCACGAGGGACTAGGGTGGGTGCCAAACTGGGGGACAGGGCTAAAGGGACACAGACATAGACCCTGTCCACAAAGAGGCTGTCCATGTCTCCTCCAGAGAAACTGAAGTCAGACAAGATTGTTTATTTTGCCTTTTGGCTGTAAATATTAAGAACCCAAAGAAGTTTATAAATGATTATTCTAAGATGATCTTTAAAAAGCAGGAAAAATTTTATGAACAATGGTAACAACTTCCAATATCATTTATTAAGCACCTTCTGAGTGCACAGCATTATGCTTGGTGCCTCATATAGACACATCTCTAACCCCTACAACAATCCAGGCAAGGGGGATCTTTGTATCCCCATTTCATGGATATGGCAAAGAAAATGAATAGTGGTGGGATCAGAAGGCAAAGAGAAAAATTCCAAGATACGATCTCGTCAGTCATTCAATTTGTTTTTACAAGAGTCTGGTGGGATACCGAGTTACCAAACCAGTTCATCCATTTCCCTCATGGTTAGAAAAGGAAGTCAATCTAACTGGAACTTAATAAAACAGAAATGCAAGGATATATTCCTAATCGATTAATTGGCTTTTATTCTTCTTATAAATTGGCTCCCTCCATCCCCAATTTATGAAGTAAGTAGCCTGAAAAGACACCTACAGAGACACAGAATTGCACTGAAATCAAGTATGGGAAGAGATTTCCAAACTAATTTTTCTCTGGTAACCCTGAAAGGCAATTCCCTGGCTAATCTCAACCATGTCCTCAGATCAAACAGAAAATAATGCTGGCCAAGCAAAGGAACTTTGTACTTGATGCCAAAGTGGAGTTAACACTAAGCTGTGTCTAACTAGAAAAGAGAGCAAGTTCTAAAGAACCACTCAGGGAATTCAGCCTGTGTTAACTAAACAGGCAGAGAGAGAGAGAGAGAGAGAGCCTTACTTTTAATTAATTCTGGAAAAGCCATCAGCTCCCAGAACACGGCTGGCACTTTATTTCCAGTATCCCTCCAGGATGCTAGGACCAAAGAGAGGCACACAGCATCCCTTCGGCATGACAGTAAGGAACCCTGCTGATCACCTGTGTGTGCTTGGTGCCCAGGACCAAGATCTAGCAGAGAAGACACTGTTCAAACCAGTAAACAACAACAAAACCTGTTACCAGGCTATGCTGAGAGGAGGCCCTCACATGGTCAATGTATTGGCTGGGCAGACAGTAAATTGAGTTCACACAATCATGTACTCTGGTAAACACTTCCTATGCACCTGAGCACCAACCTTTCTACCCCTGAGTGTTTACCACAAGCCAAGCACTGCCCCAAGCGTGTTTCACTCCTAAGTGTTTACCACAAGCCAAACACTGCCCTAAGCACCTGGGAACATTCTAGACTTCTCAGAGGTGGGAGTGACAATGTGTCAGGGGCACTTCAGTAACTTTCCCAACACTCAGTTCAGTTCTCACTGGCAGATCTGCCTTTCTTCTCAAGGTAAGATGCTGAGGGGAAGAGACTCTGCCCTCACTTGGAGCTAACAGGGGGAAGAACAGGTGGCCCCATCAGTGACATCCATCCAGTGAAGCAGATGCCGCTGACACACATTCCCAGGGACACTAGAAAAGCCATGAGGCAAAGGTCTTGAACTTGGCACTGACCTGAACACAAAAAAAGAATGGAGTATCTTGTTCTGAAGCACCTCCTGTCTTATGGGATGGTGAATTATCTCCAGAGAAGACAACACTAAAAGTCACACAACTCCACGTATTTCAAAATGTAACCTCATTTGGAATTGCAATCTGGATCCACAGCGGTAATCAGGTTAAAATGAAATCATGAGGTTGAGGCCTAACCCAATATGGCTGGTGTTTTATGAAAAGGGGGAAGTCTAGACACAAAAACAGAAGGGCACAGAGGGAAGATGGTGTGAAGACCCAGGGAGGAGACACCCATCTAGAAGCCAAGGAGCATCAAGCGTTGCCAGCCAACACCAAAGGCTGGGATAGGGAAGGGTCCTCTCTTGACACCTTGATTTCAGACTTCTAACCTCCAGAAGGGTCAGGTGATCCATTTCTGTTATTAGTTACCCAGTTTACGAAGCTTTGTTCTGGCAGCCCAAGCAAACCAAGCCCTGTTAAGGCCAGCCTTGATCAGAAACCCTCGGGGCCAAACGTGTTACAGAATTCTGTCCTCATTTTAGAAAGATGACTCAGTGATTATTTCAATTATTGTGGGGCTGGACCCACAGTCAAATGTCAGTATCTGTGCACCAAGAAGCTTGAAGGGCTAAATTAAGCGTTCTACATAAAGCCAGCAACAATCTTGGGTCCTTTCACATCGGGTTTTGCTCTCAAATGAGTTTCCCACAAACCTACAAAGATGTTTTTGGTTTCCAGGGCTTTCTGGACGTTCGGACCACAGATAAAGGATTGTGGGCTTGCACTAAGGTGCAGAAGGACACTTAAAACCTGTGTGCTCCTAACGCCATTCCGCCAACCACATTCAGCCTATCAGCAACACAAGACTGCCGAGGAAATCCCAGAATTCCTCAGGGAGACAAACGGATCAAAGTATCCCCTCAATGCTCAAAAAAAGGCAGAGAAAATGATTTTTTAGATGTTATTTTCAAGTCTATTAAGCTTGCAAACCACCAGACACTTGACCCCGCTGTTATTCTGAGTGCAATACCGCACAAGACTGCTTAAGATGGAACACGGGGTGGGGAGGGAAACAATTGTGCTTCACTGTATTATCACAGTGCCTCGATTCTAGAGAGAACTTATGAGCCATGGGATGCCTGTTTTCCCCAGTTGTACAGATAAATATATGGCAGGTACTCACATTTGGAACCCCTGGGCCCATATACTACTAAAAAGGAGGGTGTTTATAGAAGGAACAAAGCCCTCCACAACATGAAAAACCTTAGCTGACCCATCCACCAGTGTAAACACTGGTGTCCATTGCTACATCTCCAAAGCTGGACACACATGCTGGAGACTTTTCCTTGTGTCTGACTCATTCGAAAAGGGTGGACATTTAGATTGTGGTGGTCTCAGCCTGGTTATGTCCAACAGGAACCTGAGGGCATTTCAATTAAAAAAAAAAATCCTCCCTCAAGTTATTGTGTTATGTGAGACTGGTGTTTGTTGAAGGACTTTCTAGAGAGAACCTAGGGGCAGCTGTGTCATCATTAGTAAGGGATCGTTTCTACACACGCCACTCCCTCCTCGTCAAGGTATATGTTGGAGCACTAAAAATTTATGCCACTAGAAGACATTGTTTTATGAACATGTATTTCTCCCTGCCCCTGCAACCCTGAAGAAAAAGTGCTAAATTATCACAGGATAAAGGCACACAGGACAGATTAAGAGAATTTACATAGAACACAAGGCACCTCTCCCATAATAACTGGAGGTCAGATTTCCATTATATTTAACTGACAGAACACAGGGTCCTTTTCTTTTACTTTTGCCCTATGCTTTACAATTTCTCTTGGGCAGTAAGGGGAGAATCTCATTTAAAGTACTTGTCAATAAAGCCGCATCTGTTTAATTCTCGAAACAGGTCATCGAATTGCCTCAAAGTCTTCAGCCCACTCAGCCCTAGTGCATATTCACTTACTGGTGATCCTTCACTTACTTCTCTGACTCTTTTTCCCAGCAGCCAGTACCCACCCTCCCTGATTTCCCCAGGAGAAACTATCCTCTAATCACCAGCCTCTCCATTCTCCAGATTCCTACAGTCTGACTACTTGGACTGCTCCCTTTCCTATCAAATCATGTACCTTCCTATATATTGTTTGTTCTTCTTCAAGTGTAAATCTTAAGTCTCTAAAACCAGCTGCAAATAACTTAGGGCCCCTGTCTATTTCTCAGGTTCATGTGAATTTTCCATGGAATCTTGCACAAAACGGGCCCTTGACAAATATTCCTTGGTTGCTTGACTTCTCACCAAACATTATGAAAGGTTCGCTTCTTTCCACATTGTCCTGCCTGACTTGCCAAAATGTGAAATTCTCAGCATGTTTAAATCTCCTACCTGATCATGAATAAATAGACACAGAATTTATTTTCCACCTAAGTCTCATTTTCTGGAACCTGCTTCATTTTCTTTACTTTTCCACAATAGGGGGTAACAGACAATCATTTCCCAAGAGTCCTGAGTTACAAGTGCAAACATATTTAAAGAAACAAAATGGTGTGCGCACATGCATATACATACACACACACACACACACACACACACACACACACACAACTTCACAGTTGAGTTCATTTCAGCAATATTACCTGACACAAAAAACTAAACTCATAGGCCACTTTTATTAAGTAAAAGAATAACATTGTATCTGATTTATATACATGTATGTGAAAATCAAATATTCAAATCTAAAGGATACAAGCAATATTAATGCTTGAAGATTGTCTTGGGGAGAAAATAATAAAACAATTCCAGAAAGAAACTCTGGTTAGACTGTTGATAATCATGTACAAACTGAAAGGGGAGTCCACTTTTAATAGTGGATCCCTAGCTCATTATGCACCATTATACATTTTATTCAAGTTGCTTAAGTTCTCATTGTTATTTTTCATGCTTCTTCATGTCTGTTGCTAATTTTTTTTTCCCTACCCTGAAAAGGCTTCCTTTAAAGATGTCTCAATCGATATGTGAATTGTCGCGTGCCAAACAAATGCAATAAAGACAAATGATTGAGAAAACTTTCACTGTAATTAACCTCACATTTTTGTGCAGCTGACATAGAATGAGATACTATTAAAGAGAGCTGACAATTATACTAAATACAGGCCACTTGGGGCTGCAGCAAGCGTCATCATAGAGACAAGAGCTCTCTTCCCAGCGAATCATTAGGGGGCAAAGTGTCCTAGATTACCGCGGGCAATGTGAACATATCAGGACTTCTGCAATGAACGTTCCAGCAGCATGCCTCCTTCTGAGTCAGCCCAAAACCCCAACTAGACACACACCATCCAGGTACAATAAATGGTACCTGTGTGGATACGACTATGTTGTCTAGCCAAATACGACTCATTAATTGCTAATTAAACTTACTCTACAGTCTCTAATTTTGAGAACACTCTAAAAGGCCCTATACAGACCAAAAAAAGAGAAGAAAACACTTTTATACGACAGGCAAAGCTATTCTACAGAGCAGAACCATGTTCTCCCAGCGCTTAATGTATATAGTTATCACCTGGGGATCTCGTTCGACTGCAGCTCTTACTGGGCAGGCATGAGGTGAGCCCCAAGAATCTGCATTTCTCATTAGCTCCCAGGGGACGCCAAGAGAGCTGGTGGGTGTAGAAAAGCTCTCATGGAGACAGAATACCGCTCATTCAGCAAAGGGTGTGGAAGAGTGCTTGGACACTCCCAGAAAGAACTCAGACCCTAGAAATACCAAGTTATATTGTGGAGGTTCCCCCAGACTTCATCTTCAGTCTCCTTTCACTCTACAGTTGCTCCTGGGTGGACTCATGGCCCACCCCCATTCTCCCTGCTGCCCACACACACCTCCTCCTTCTTGATAATAAAGTAAGGAATTAGCTGGGCTCCGTGGCTCAGCCTGTAATCCCGTGCCTTTGGAAGGCTGAGAGGAGTGGATTGCCTGAGCCCGCGGGTTCAAGACCCGCCTGGGCAGCGAGACCTCATCTCTACAATAAATCAAGAAATCAGCCGGGCGTGGTAGTGCGCGCCTGTAATTCCGGCTACTCGGAAGGCTGAGGCGGAAGGATCGCCGGAGCCCAGCGGGTCGAGGCTGCGGTGGCCGGGAGCGGCCGCTACCCTCTAGTCTGGGCGACCGGGTGAGACTCCAACTCAAAAAAATAAAAAAATAAAGTAAGGAATGGCCAAGTCTGGTCTCGGGAGACTGCAGGATGGAACACCAGGTGCGCAGATGAGGGTTCCTTCTGGCCATCCCAGCCTCCCTGATGAAGCACCTCAAGGATGAAATTCACCACGAGCCCAACCTCTTATTTTTCACACCTTGTTAATTCGGCTGAATATAAACCCAAATCGCTAAAGCCAAGCACATGGGACTCACCCACTCTGCACTGGTTCTTTGGAACTCACATCAAACTATGGCAGTACCCACGGTCTGTCCACTCTGGCCCTTGCCTGCCCTGCCAGTGTCATCTCCCATGTGCCTTATACATTTAGCCAAATACAGCGACGTTGGCTTTTGGTTCTTGGAGCACCATGCTGTTTCCTTGGGGGAACACAGACATGCCCTCTGCCCCCAACCTGCCCGTGACCTTAAAGACAAGTTCAACGGCATCTGAGAAGACTCCCGTGGACAGACCCCTATCAGTAGTGCAACCATCCACTTATGTGTCCATTTCTGCTATTGTTCTGGAAGCTCCTCGTGAACAGGCCCATGTTTCGGTCACTTGTGTATATCACGTTTCAGTCACACAGTACGGCGGCCACGGAGAATTGCTTTATGGGGCATCGTGATGGCCCCAGGGCAGGTTAAGCATATGGAGGGGCAATGGGGTAGGCTGGTGAGGGGAAACCTTGAACTTTGTAGTAAGTACATGCCGGAAGATAG